TCAGTTAAAAAAAGCTTAAAGTTTCTCCCATACAGAGTTATGGCAGGATTAAATGGGATACAACTTATAAAGCACCTGGCACATACTAAACATGCAATAAATGATGGCTACCATTGTTGTTGTTGTTGATGTCACTTGACCTCGCAGCAGCACTGCCTTTTGAAACTCTCTCTTCTCTTGGCCTCTGCTGAGCTTCTTCGATCTCACTGGTTGCTTTCCAGATATCGTCTCCCATCCTCCATTTAAAGTTGGAATTTGTCAAGTTTCATCCCAGGCTCTCAATCCTTCTCACTTATTACCATCTGATCTTTACTAAGTACCATCCCCCAGAAAACTGTATAACTCCCACAGCCTCGATGCCACCTAAAAACAACAATCTGTTCTCCACACAGCAGCCAGAGGAGTATTTCCACAAAAGATCGAATCATGTCACTCTCCAGGCTTCAAACATGTCAAGGGGTTAGCAAGCTCTTAGGGTAAAGTTCATGAGACCCATAAGGCCCTTCATGGTCTGGTGCTACTTTCTGCTTCACACCACATCATGGTCTCTGCTGCTTTGTACACCAGCTTTCTTTAAGGTCCTTTAATGTGCTACATACCATTCCCTCTGCCTGGAAAGCCTTCCTCTACTGACTTAGCCTGGTTAACTCTTTCTTACTCTTCAATCTCAGCTCAATCCTCAATTTCTCAGGCAGGCTTTCCCAAGGATGCAGTCTATCAGATACATCCTGTCTATACTCTCATGGCTTCACAGCTGAGGTAGTACTTATCACAGCTATCATTTTACATTTTTTGTTTGATTATTTGATTAATGACAGTCTTATCCCTAAACTATAAGCTCCCCAGGGTGGGGATTATGTCTGCTTTTACTCATATTATATCCCTTACACTTAGCACAGACACTTAACACACTGCAGATACATGACAATATTGGTAGAAGAAATAAGTAAGAAATTCTCATCTCCTAATGTAGATGTGAATGCAGGAGTATTTGCCAACAGACTTTGAGTATTCAGGTAGCAATAAACAAATTCATGTTAATAAACATTATCTGAATATGATCCAGTCTATGAGGAAAAGACATTCTTGTGATGTAGACTTCAGTTATTCCTGTGCTTTTGACAGTGATTTCTTATTGTAAATTAAAAAAATAGATTGGTATTTTGATTTTTATACATTTTCATTCACTTGGCCAATATGCATCCAACCTGGGAGAAGAATCTGTTCTTGTTATTCTGAGAAAAATTAGGTTTCTGCAACTGGAGGCGTGAAGATAAGACCCTAGACCCTGGATTATCCACTACAGTAAGGAATGTCAACTAGTGAGGTGATCTGAAGAGGGCAGGATACTCCTGCCACTTTGGAAGCCACATCCCAATGATGCTGTGCCTTCTACAAATGTGAAGATTATTTGTGCTTAACTAGCATATCTTCAACAATGACAATTCTGTGCTTCATATTTTCAGATACTGCTACTAATCTAACTTTACTAGGTTGACCATGCATTTTCCAAAAACAGAGTTTCTAGCTGATTAATCTATATCGTCACTTTTCCCGCTGCAATTGTAAGGCTGATGGATGGAATTAAAACTAAAATGTGTGTTAATAAAAAAAAGAAACAATAACTGACACACTACACATAAGAAATCATAACGGGTTGATTTAGACCTGTACTTAAAGTAACTAAGCAAGGCAACCATGACAAGAAATCACAGAAATTTAACGGGCATGCAAATTTCAACTCACATAACAATTCTTTAATTATTCGGTGTTATTTGGAGGAGTCGTCTCCTCTTTGTTTCACTTCAGACTTTTTTGTTTCGACACAAGAAAAATTGAGTAAAATGTTCGCACTAAAAGTATTCCCCTGGTAACTGAAAACTTTTAGAAAATCCTTTATTAATGTTATTAACACACCTATTCTATCAGTTTCCTTGTCTAAACTTCTTATAGGAGATAAAATAAACTTGAAAGCGATTAAACAGGACACGGATACCTGATTGACATCAAGCCTCTTCCAGTTCTCCAATTTCCATTCTGAAAGACACAGTCAGACACAAGATTTGATGATAAGGATTTTAAAAAGAATAAATCATTTGATTATTAGTGAGTGCTCAATATGTAATGGAAAATCTAAGTACTGGAAATGTTTCTGTAACTTAAGCCAAATTTGAATAGAAAGGGTACTCAAAAGTGCAGAGGTGTACATTTTTAAAATCAAATTTTAGAAGAACAGCCAGAAAGTAAATATTTGGTGTTTTCTGTGGTGATTCATTAAACTCTTAAAATTCTCATTTGGAAGTAAATATTTCAAAGCATCTGTCTTAGTTATCTAGTGCTGCTATAATAGAAATACCATTAAGCAGATGGCTTTAACAAACAGAAATTTATTTTCTCACAGTTTAGAAGGCTAGAAGTTCAAATTTAGGGCACTGGCTCTAGGGAAAGGCTTTCTCTCTCATCTCTGGGGGTAGGTCCTTGTCTCTTCAGCTTCTGTTTCCTGGTTCCTTGGGCATCTCCATGTGGCTTGGCATCTTCCTCCATCTCTGCTTCTCTTGCTTGCTTGTTTAATCTCTTTTATATGTCAAAAGAGACTGACTCAAGGTACACCTTATGCCAGCCCTGTCTCATTAATATAAAAAAGTCAACCCATTCCCAAATAAGATTGTAGCCACAAGCATAGAGGTTACGATTTACAACACATATTTTGAGGGGACACAATTCAATCCATGACAGCATCAAAATGTTAATGGAGGGGAAGATGGAAGTAAATGGCACAACAATAACAACTCTCAGCATGACTACAACTAACTACAATCCTGCTCTACGTAGTTATTAAGGCAACTGACAGCCTTCTAAGTCAATCCAAGGAACTTTTTTTCTGTAATGGTAGTTACCTGCAAAATACTTAAAATTGTAGCTTCGATGCTCTTACAGTCATTAACCCAAGAGTGCTAAAACAGTATACTGGTGGACTTGAATCTCCAACCTTTTGGTTAGCAGTCAAGCACGTTAACTGTTTACACCACCCACGGACTCCCCACAGTGCATACACATGTAAAATTCATCCATCTGTACATTTAAGATTAGAGTACTTTACGAAGGAGCTTTGGTACCACAATGGTTAAGCACTCAAGTGCTAACCGAAAGGTTGGTGGTTTGAACCCATCCAGTGGCTCGATGGAAGAAAGACCTGGAGGTTCGCTTCTGTAAATATTATAGCCTAGAAAACCCTATGGAGCAGTTCTACTCCATCACATGGGGTCACTATGAGTATGAATCAGCTCAATGGTAGTTAACAACAACAACAACCTACTTTACTGAATACCTCAATAAAAATGTGGGGGAAAAAGGAGACCACTCTTATCTCCACCAGGTTTTTATCACATCGCCCTAACTTCCTTCATAGCAGTATCATAATCTATAACTTTTCTTTATAATGTTTTAAGTCTCTCACTAGAACGCGAAGCTCTGTGAAAGCAAGGACTATCCCAAAGACGTGTAATAGATGAAAAGAGAGTCCTCTAGATTCTTTCCATTTTATGCTTAAATAAATCTGGAAATATCATGACAGTGTACTGGCTGCAGTATTTTGGTCCTTTCTCAAACACCTCCTATAGACCTGCGATTTGACATGATGCTCTCTGCCAGCACTGACAAACTTACAAGATACAGCCCTATGAAAAAGTCACCATTATTTACTGAAGACATGTTGTTGAGTAAATTATTTACTGTGCCCTTCTGTCTTCATGAGGGCCCAAGGCAGAAATATCTCAATACTGCAGTTAGCTTTTTATCTAATGGATATACCTCGTGGATACTGTGAATTTTGTAACTGATAAGTATGTTTTTGTTTGGTTTGGAAAATAGTGATCAAACTTATGATTTACTTCTAAGAAACCTTAGATTTCTTTTTTATCTTATCTTTAGTTACTCTATCTCCCATTTAAATTAATTAATAAATTTATTCAATAAAACAAGATCTAAAATTAAGCTCCCCAGACATTTAGAAAGGTCTCAATAGTTATTAGCAGTACTATGCTGGTAAATGTTTAACAACTGACTCTAAGAGAAGAGAAAAAACAAACAAAATAACCTTAATTTGTAGCATTTGCCCATTTCTGTGTGTGAAACACCACCACCAAGTGCCATTTATTGAGTATTTACCAATTGGCTCACGTGAGTCAGAATGAATTAGTTCACACATTACTATTACTCACTTTTGAGAAATCAGCAAAATTCACATAAGTTACTATTCTATCACTAAAGAGAAAATAAATTTATCTTCAATACTGAAGAATATAAAAATAACCAAAGTGTTAAAAACATTGCATTAGGCAAAAAAACAAGACTGTGATATCATAATGATATGAGTAAGTACCTTTTAAAAATTCTTTTAAAGAGTCATGAAAATTCTTCAGTGTTTCCATTAATAAAAAGCATTCTAATAAACCAAAGAAAATAATACAAATAAAAACATTCTATGGTTCCATACTGACCTAAGAAGGAATTTACTGAAAGTCCAGAAATAAAACCATACATTTATGGTCAACTGATTTGCAACAAGGGTACCAATACAATTCAGCGAGGAATGAATACTATTTTCAAAAATGGTGCTGGGACAACTGAATATCCACAGCTAAAAGAACGAAGATGAATCCCTATCTCACTTGATATACAAAAATTAACTCAAAATGGATCAAAGACTTAAATATAAGAGCTAAAACTATAAAACTCTAAAAGAAACCATAGGTCTGAAGTTTTATAACCTTGCATTAGGCAACGCTTGCTTACATATGACACCAAAACTATAAGTAACCAAAGGAAAAATAAATAAATTGGACTTAAAATTAAAAAACTATCAAGAAAGTGAAAAGACAACACACAGACTGGGAGAAAATATTTGTAAATCATGCATCTGATAAGGTCTAGTATCCAGGAACAAACAAAGAACTCTTACAACTCAACAATAAAAAGACAAATAGGATTTGAATAGATATTTCTCCAAAGAAGATATACAATGGCAAATAAACACATGAAAAGATGCTCAACATCGTTAGGAAAATGCAAATCAAAACCACAATGAGATACCACTTCACACCTACTAGGATAGATGTAATAAAACCGAACAATGATAACCAGTGTTAGTGAGGATGTGGAGAAACCGGAACCCTCATACACTGCTGCTGAAAATATAAAATGGTACAGCTGCTGTGGAAAACAGTTCGGCAGTTTCCAAAGAGTTAAACCAAGTTTCCATACGACCCAGCAATTCTATTCCTCAGTATCTACCCAAGAGAAATGAAAACATATGTCCACATAAAAATCTGTACATGAATATTCAAAGCAGCATTATTCACAATAGCCAAAGGGTAGAAGCAACTCAAATGTCCACCAATTGATGAATGGAAAAATAAAATGTAGTATATACATATAATGGAGTATTATTCAGCCATAAAACCTTGTTGAACCTTGAAAACACTATATTAAGTGAAAGAAGCCAGACACAAAAGGCCACATAGTATATGATTCCATTTATGTGAAATGTCCAGAATAAATAAATACATAGAAAGCAGATTAACAGCTTCCAGTTACTGGCGGCAGGGAGGAAAAGGGAGTGACTGCTGAATTGGGGTGATGAAAACGTTCTAGAATTAGATGGTGGTAATAGTTGAACAATCTTGTGAATATACTAAAAACCACCGAATTGTACACTTTAAAAACATGAATTTTATGGTATGTGAATTATATCTCTATCAAAAACTAAATTAAAAAAGAAGCTAAGGAAACTTTATAATACAAACCAAGAAGAGTTCTCTATGATGGTGATTCTAAACCTAGGTATATGTGTCAGAATCCTAGAGAAATCTTTAGAAAGAAAATTCCTAGGTCCCACCTAGCCTCATGGAATCAAAATATCCATGACAAGGTCTGAGAATTTGTATTTTTAATAAGTGTTTTGGATGACTGTAACACAAATGATTCAGAGAAAGGCACTGGAGAGGGATTTGTTTTGTTTCATTGACAAAAATTTAGGAACTTTGAACAAACTTTACAAAATAAACAGAGCTCCAGAATAAAGCAATTCCTTTTTTTTATAGATTATGAAGCAAGGGAGGCTTGGGTAACACAGAGAACCTTCGAAAATACTTCAAAACAGGGCAAAACTTGATTTCCAGTTGTAAAATATCAATAGTGACATATGTATGATTTATCAGATTGATATTCTTTGCAGGTTAGATTAGACTCAAGGGTTTTATCAAAATTCCAGAAATTATAACACTTGTACAGAAAAGTAAAGTGTAATTTATACGAGAACTTTCATAAGACAACTAATACTGTATAATATGAAATACATAAAAGTAATACATAGAAAACGTAGAGGGTCAGCGAGAAAGAGGAAGACCCTCAACAAGATGGAATGACACAGTGGCTATGACAATGGGCTCAAACATAGCAACAACTGGGAGGATGGCGCAGGACTGGGCAGTGTTTTGTTCTGTTATACATAGGGTCCCTATGAGTAGGAACCAACTCCATGGCACCTAACAACAACAACAATATATAGAAATAGTAATGATATAAATATCAAAATGAAAGATTTAAAACTATAACTTGAAAAGTAATTCTTTAAAATTAAAAGTAATTTAAAATTACTTTTCAAGTTATAGTAATTAAACTGTTTGGTTTTGTTTTAAAATGTTATACATTATAACAACAAAGAGAAAGGTTTATACCTTTTAAAAATGCATCATCAAACTGCTGAGCTGATACTCTTTGAGGATACTTGATTCCAGCTCCCCAAGCGACTAAAGGAGTTAAAGTCTCTGAAGGATGACCAGCCCCGTGCGAACCTACAGATAAGACATCAAGAGTAATAAGACAAGGATATAAAAATTAACTTACAGCTAAATATTCCTTAATAATTTTTAAAAATGTTTTAAACAGTTGATCCATATTTAGCCAATCCTAGCCACCACACTTTCAAATGCTTACAGTTTTGTGTAACAGTTTGAAAATACTGCCATAAAACAAATCAGAGCATCAAACAGGCAAAAACAAAAAAGCAGAATGTCTGCTGAGTTCCTCTGGCTAAAAAAAAGAAAAAGAACAACAACAGAATATTTACATGTATCTCACCTGATTTGTAACTGTGATTAGACATAACTACCAAATCAAATTTATGAGCAACATAATCAAGTGAATAAGAAAGTAGCAGTAATACACAGATGTATAAATCATACAGCTCTTTTCTCCCTGCTAACATGCGGGAAGTCATTTCTGTTCTTTTAAACCAAAAAAAGATCTTGAAAACGTTTTCAGAATAGACAGAACACCAAAAAACTTTACTGAAGCGTATTTAAGAAGGGCTATTCCATATTTTGAGCCCGGGTGGCGCAGTGGTTAAGAGCTCGGCTGCTAACCAAAAGCTCAGCAGTTCAAATCCACCAGTTGCTCCTTGGAAACCCTTTGGGGCAGGGCTACTCTGTCCTATAGGGTCGCTATGAGTCGGAATTGACTGGATGGCAAAAGGTTTGGTATTAACAGGTATTCCATATTTCTGGGGCCCTGGTAGCGCAGTAGTTAAGCACTCAGCTGCTAAACCAAAAGGCCGGTGGTTCAAACCCACCAGCCACTCCACAGGAGAAAGATGTGGCATTCTGCTTCCATAAAGATTACAGCGTTGGAAACTCTATAGGGCAGTTCTACTCTGTCCTATAGGGTCACTATGAGTCCAAATCGACTTGATGGCAATGGGTTTGGTTTGGTTTTGGTATTCCACATTTATAGATTGAAAGATTCTATAGTATAAAGACATCACTTTTTCTCAAATTAATTTACACAGCTTTTGAAATTCCAATTAAAAATTCCAGATGGAGAACACTGAGGAAAGAGTTGATAGTAATTTTAAATTTATTCTGGACAAAGAAATAAACAAGAATATAAAAAAAAATTTTTACAGGGGGAATAATAAGGAGATATGTTGTAATACTAGATGTGAGTATGCCACTTTAAAGCTATAGTAATCAAAACAGGGTGGTATGAGTATAAAAAAAAGCCTCAGAAATCAGGGGGAATAAGATAGCCCACCAAAAGTTCCTGATAAGTACAAGAATATAGTGATAAAATCAGTACCAAAAAATTGTTATATATGAGTGGTTAAATATTTGGAAAACAATTAAATTTGATTCTCATCTCTGAGAAAATATCAAAGTAAATTCCACATGACTTAAAAAGTTAAACTAAAAATATGAAAACAAAATTCTGAGAATATAAGTGATACATAATCACAAGATTAGAAGAAGTTTAACAGTGGAGCCTAAGTCACAGAAGAGCTCAATAAGTTGACTATGTAAAAGTTAAAAATTTTATTGTGTCAAAAAAATAAACAAAACTAAAAGATTAAAGGAAATATAAAAACCATAGCAAACGGTTAACAGCTTGAACATATAAAAAATTCTTAAATATCAGTAAGAAAAATGCTAATTCCTTATTTTAAAAACTGGGCAAAAGACACAAAAAGGCAATACAGAGAAAAAAATATTTAAAATAAACATTCAACTTCATTGTTAATTAAAAAGGTAAATTAAACCAAAAAGATATATTTTCCCTTAGCAAAATAGCAAGGATTAAACAAGATAATATTCATTGTTCAAAAAGGTATAATAAGATGGCCACCACTATTACACAAGGGACTGGTAATTGCTGGGTGGAGGCCTATGGGGACCATGGTCTCAGGGAACATCTAGCTCAA